TGCCCCCTGGAGACTCTGAGTTAGCCAGGGCCTGCTGGAGAGAGAAGCCAGGGAGCAGTGGTTTTACCTGGCCACAGTTTCCATTCCAGGCAAGGCAACTTTTCCATTGCATTTCTGCATTGCTGGAAATATTCAGCTACTGGGCTCAACAGTATCTGCTGTAAAAGACATCCTTTAACAAGGAAAAAGTGCAGTCCACTGACAGGACTGTCACACTGACTCCAATGGGACAGGGCTTTCAGCTTGAGTTTCCACCTCAGGCTTGAATTTCCCTTCCTGCCAGTGCTACAGCAGTATCAGCCCTTCAAATTGCAGCGGAGCCGCTCTCAATAGGATGCAAGGGAGGGCAGCCTGGAGAAGCAGAGTGTTTCTCCAGACAACTTACTCCTTCTTTTAGGAACACCACTCTAAGCAGAGGCTTGAGAATCACTGGTGTAAAGTCAGTGTAAACACAGCTAGAATACATATCCTATGTTGTGCTGGCTTCAAAAGCTGGGAGAAAGCGTGGAAAATATCCTTTTACACAAATACATTACCTGGGGATAAAACACAACTTCCTTAAAAACTAATAAAATCGTTCTAAATGTCAATTTGTATTCAGTGTATAAGGCAAGCAAAAGGGGGCAAAATGATTACCATGACAATCCTGACAGGTTTAAATTGCACTTGTAAATGACAGGATATTTATTATAGGTCAAACTCTTCCCTGAACTGCATCAAGAACATAGTTCCTGCCTGAGGGACAAGTCAGAGCAGAGCCTGTCTCTGTATTCCTGCTATTTGGAGGGAATAAACAAAGGAGTTAATCAAAACTCAGAGATGTTGGTCTATATTCTGCTAACCTCCACTATGAGAGTTTTCCTTGGGGTCAACCTTCTTGCTCACGAGTACAAAAACCAAGGTTTTAGCACAGATCGCATCCATCTGTACAATTTACTGAATATTGGTCTTTTTGGTAAAGTAAAAGATTTTTATTGGGGAAAATACTTAAAAACGTCAACAACATGCTTTTCTCTCTCTGTCTCCCAGGTATCCCACACAACCCTGTCGTTTTGGAAAACTTTTATTGCTTTTACCAGCTTTACGTTCAATTAGTCCATCTACAATAGAAGAAGTGTTTTTCAAAAAGACCATTGGGAATGTACCGATTACAAGACTGCTTTCAGATATGTACAAATCCAGTGACATATAAATTACCTGAAAATAAACAATCAGGATGGACAGTTTGAGAAGAACTTTCATCTATGGAGAATAAGCCTCAACTAACAAAATCTACAGGAAGCATAAGCCTGGGAACATTTAGCCTTTAAACTCATTGACAAAAAATACCCCAGTAGATATGATTTTGCTGCTCTGAACAGAGTGATTTAGATCATGGAGAGAATGCTTTGTTCTACAGAAACGGTGAAAGTGGTTGGAATTTGGCTGGTATTCCTGCTACTACAGGATGGAGGCAATTCAGATGCCAGTCAGAGTTAACAAAGACTCCGCTATTCTCTCATTTAACTGGCAGATCTGAGACAAAATGTGAAAGAAGGTACTTTAGTTTGTTCAGTATTTGGAAACGGGTGACCAAACTCGGCTTCTGTTGTAACATGAGATGTGGTGGCCTTCAGAACTGTTTTAAAAGTAGCCTCTGTTGGGAAAAGGTTCTTAATATGACAGGCAACATTTAAGACCAGGTTACCAAAACATTGCTTCTGCTATAATACATCATGAAGTGGCCTTCAGAACTGACTAAAAAGTAGCTTATGACAGCAGCTCCATTCTTCCTGCAGAATGAACTGGCGATCTTTGACGTAGATGTCACCACAATTTGTTCGGTTAACATCTCAAAGACAGAAGAGCTTTATAAACTTCTTCCCCAACCTTCCCTCCTTCTTCTTCCACACACAGACACACATTCATGTACACACCTGAAAAGACACAAGTCAAGAAAGGATGACTAAAACAGCAAAACCAAATACAATGGAGATGACCGCTTCAGTGACCTGCTGGCTGTCCCGGTGGCACAGTGCTGAAACCAAAGGCAATGGTGGCCAAACTCTTCGTCAATGAGATGTGCAGAGAAGTTAAATGACTATTAAAAAAAAATCAATGGAAGGAATTTTATTTCAAAGAAATAAAGGTTGTTGACTGATACAATGCTAACAATTTCCAAAAGTCTCCAATGCCTTTTTAGAAAACTCCAGGTTCTAATTTTGAAGCCTTGTTCGCCTACACCCTCTCACACAAAAATGTTATAAGCTGCTTATTTGATGTATGAAAAGTGTAGAAAAAAACATTTAAAGATAGCTGCTGTACTTTTCAAAATTTGATTTGTTATTAGGAACTAGCACTGAGAAAAATCAGCACTTGGACTATCATAGAATGAGTAAAACTTTTCCTGTACAAAGTGGATTAACTGATTTGTGAAGTTAAAAAGTTGTACTCATTGTATTTACAAAGAATAAAAATATATTGAATTTAAATTACTTTGCTCTGTTCTTTCAATTCTGATCCTTCTGGATTAGTTTCTTCTACTGTATCATACTTCTAAGGGAACAGAAATATTCTCTACTAAAATGGATTGCCTTGGATGCTGTGTAATCAACACCAGCATCTCCATGATCAGAGGTTTTAAAACAGGTCAGACAAACTTTAAAGGAGTTGCTTGGGTGATCCTGCCTTGGGGCAAAGGGATTTTGAGGTCCTGCATGGAGCTGTATTTGTATAATTCAAATACACCCCTGCTGCAGTTTCTTTCTCAAGGAGCTTTTTCTAGGACACAATACTAAACAGATCAGAGGTCTAACCTAGTACAAGTCTTTTGTTTCACGTTATTAAGAGTTTTTTAATATCCGTGAATTGTGCAGCTAACAAAGGGTGATGGGTACAAAAACACTGCTTCAACTAAAAAGATTCTGAGGTTTTATTAAGGTGTCCTGTTGTGTAAACACACCAAAGAAAGAGGTAAGCAACTCCCAGTGCACAGGAACTGCGTAGAAGGGAAATATATTGTTCATATGGCAATGAGTGACTGAAGAGCAACGCACACTAAAATGACAGGTGGAAATGTACAGTGTGTATCATGGCTCATTGGCTTTCAGTGTCAAGGAATACAGATCACAAGTGAACTCCTAGCTCCATTGACTCCAAACACAAAAATGTTACACTTTTCAGAGGTCAAAGTTTCCACCCCATCTCTCTTCTATTTGTGTAGTTTGCTAGGTCTCACTTTCTGCCCTTTCCAAGACAGCCAGGTGAGAAATTATACAAGGCCAGACTTTTGATGAATCGGGTGGGACTACAGGACTACAAAACATCTTCTTTCTATACAAACTAGCATGGAGCACATCAGAATGTGTTTACCACAGAGCATAGTACATTCTTAGAAATAAACCAACACTTTGTATAGTGTTCTTACTGTACCTGTAGTAACCTTCAACCATTTTCTGCTCACTATACTAAAAAGAACTGCACAGCAGATAATCAACTGTGGCTCTCCACTCTGTGACAATTCAGTTTATGAATTAGGGTCTCTAGTCAGCCTTGAAGGACTGAAGTCCAGGTTTTCAAAATCCCAGAGTCCAGTGCAGATGTCCTGCCAAACTCAGAGGTTAACACTCCAAAGTCCTCACTTTGGAAACAGGAATACTTCGGCATCAAGCACGCAGCTTTTCCCTCTCTACCTTTTTTTTATTTTTTTCTCCACAGCAGATACAGACTGTGTCATTATCTCTTAGGGATAAAATGGAGCATTTACTTTGATTTCTGAGAGAAGCTTCTCTCAGAATAGAACATTTCAAAAAAGAACAATGACACCTTACTATGTATCTAAAACTAAATAATAAAACTCATATATTTAGTCCCTCTTTCCCCATTTTCAAGAATAGCTCAACTTCTCAACTTGTAAGAATGATTCAACAAGCACAAGGAATTTTAGAATTTATTTTACATTATCAAAAACATCTTGAAAAGCTAGACAGCTCTGGGCTACAAGTGGGCTGTGTCAGCTTTGGTTCCTGGTTTCATTAATAGGACTGTTGGAGAGATTCAACACAATCTAAGTATGAGGGAGAAAGAACAATTATTTGAGCACCTGAGTATTCAGTCTAGCTAGTCACTAGTACTACATATAACCCAGTCAGCCACCACTGTCTTGTCAGTTCAATCTTTTATATCCAGGTTTCCATAAATGAGGTTAAATAGCCTTATTTAAAGGAAACTACTAACTTTGCCAGTAAGTTTGTAGGATGTTCTCAACAGCAATAAGAAGTATTATAAGCAGGAAAAAGCAGCAGAGCCAAGTCTAAGCCAACACATACTCGTACCAAATCACAGAAAACACTGCATCGGATTGCTACTAGTGTTCTTTAATCTGTTTTCAAGAGCATCTGGATAGGTAACTTGTGTCACATTGGAAGCACTAGAAGTTTCTCTAGTCACTGAAGCATCTAGTGATAAAGAAGATCTCAGCAGTGTTGTTTGTGAAATGCAGTTCAGGCATCCTTCATTTCACTGGTGATCACAGACGTACAATGCTACAGCTTCTCCCTCCTTCAATGCTCAGGGACATGGCCTATGATAACAGGCTTGTATGATTTCATGCCTCAAATTGTATTTGTAGAACAAAGCTATTTTAAACTAGAATTGAACTTTTAAATTCCTTTGTCTGTAGAATGGTATAATTTTCACCCGCTAGTTGAAGCTAGATTGATGCTTCTTATACCAAGGAGAAAGGTACTCTTTTCCCAAACTTATTGAAGCCACAGATCCATTGACTGCCTACAATGAATGGACTTTCAGCTTCAGCTCTGCAACATAGGAAGAGCCTTCAGTACCTTTAAATGTTCTTTAACACTTCAGCAGTGAGTGCCAGCACCTAAGTATTTAGTGCTGGCTTGTAGTAATACAAGACTACATTGCAGAAGAACATTACAGCAAGGCTGAAACACTGGTTCACTTCATATGGTCAAGTCCCTACTTCCCAGAAAGCATGAGATAGCCCACACTTAAGGTCAAGCGTGACAAAACATTTGAAGTACATCTTCACTTTTATTTCAAAACTTTAGACAAGTTACTTTAGTATATAAATCTGATTTTTTTTCCATTTTACAGAATATAAAGATAATTCCCTCATTACTTCAGTATAAAGTGTTTTACAAGCTTGAAGACAATTGCATAAGTGTTTCTCACACAGGGCATCAGAAATAAAGCAGTCTTTCTACAGAAGTTCAGACAGATTACTACCTCAGAAACAGCATAGCAGTTTAGTCAAATACAAGTGAACACGTGACACTACAACTGTGCAAGTTCAAGTAAGGCCAAGTCAGTAAACATTGTTAAGTCATTGCAAATAAGAGTGGAAAGGTTTGTGAGACATTGCAAGGGGTGGATGGTGTCATAGTATAATACTCTTAAATCAAGGATTCAGAGGGATTTAGCTAGAAGACGAGTGAGTTCTTTAATGCTATAAAGCATATGCAAAGACCAAGCAGTGTACTGATGTTAGTGGAGACTTCGTGCCTGTTTATCCTCAGCATGCTAAGACAAACTACAACCTCTTAAAACCAAACATAAGAACCACTAATGCTTAAGATGCTTTCAGAACTCAAGTATGTCTTATTTTGGATGGTGTGTAGTTTTTGTCTATTACTTCATCCTGTAAGAACATGTGAAGACAGCGCTCGTTCTGTGCCAGCGGGTGGCCTGCAACCCTAGAGAGGAAAAAACAAGCATTAGTGCTAACAAATCATGGCTACTTGCAGCTAGCCAACAGAGCAAGGTTCTATATCCACAACCTATGGTTCTGCACTTAGGCACAGATCCCAGTTCTGGCTCACTGTTGGTGACTAGAATGAAGCCTGGGAGCAAGATTTGTCATTTTCCCCCAGATGAATTCAGCCCATAGGAACTCTGAGCTACCCATGATCAGCTGGAAGTATGTAATGTCATCATGTGTCACCTGCAATTGAAGGGACTATCAAAGTGTCCATCCCAGCATTAGGAAATCTAGAGTTAGGCAAGCCAAGCAGATCTTTACAGGTCTTGATTCCTTTGACACAGGACACCTTTTTAAAGGCAGCTTAACCTCTCAGAGTTCTCAGTCTAATTCAACAGCAGTTATCCCAGGCAGAGTTGAAGACTTACTCCACCAGAGGGTGCGAAGATCTTCTGAAGGCTCTGGCACTGTTTAGAGCGGTGACTTACCATGGTCACTATTCCCAGCACATAAAAACAGCACTGATGCACAGCCAGAGGGTACTGGCCATTCCATTAATTACAGTTGTCTTTAGATATGAAACACAGGAGACACAGAGCTTGTCTGCTCTAGAAGAGACCAGCACTTCTACTGCAGATTTGGTTTTGTTCCATAGACAGACTGAGCTATGATTCTTTTAAGAGTAAAAGAGCTGAAATTGAATTAGAAGACACTCCCAAGCTTGGAAGAAAATGACAAGAGATGACATTTAAATGCTTAGAATATCTGCAGCCTTATGTGTAGGCAGAAATCAAAGAATCAGGATCCCTGGAAGTTGATTTATGGATATGAAAACCTCAAGCAGTTTGGTTTGAAAAAAGTTACATCCAGTTTGGTCAGGGAAAAAGCTTGTCTTCATTTGAGAGAGAAAGCCCTTCAGCCTTATGGCCTCCATATCTGTCAGAACATTTCTACACTAAATAGAGGTTATCTAGTTGAACATGTGTAATACATAGTCAAGACCAGTGGCTCAGCATCAATACTTCCAAGCACTTGTGTATCTTCTCCAAATGTATCTATTAGTGCTTTCTTCACCACAGGACAGATTCACTTGTCTACTCACTTGTCATTGAGGATGTCCTTTAATGAGGAAGCTGCAGTCTCCTATTCAGCATTGATAGATTATTTGAAGTGCAGTCATAAAAATCTATCAATCTTGCCAGGTTCTAGTAAGTGGGCAGCAGTCTCAAGCACTAGTTCATAAGGAAGGCAGTCTGAAATAACTAGTTTGAGTTTCTTACTCCCATCAGACTGAAGTTGCTGGCCTTAAACTTCAAGAGAAAGATAGACAGGAGAGCACGAAGAGGCAGCAGCATATTCCTTCTCCTTTCAGGGAGGCTTGCAAATTGGTGGCTGAGTTTCAAGACTAGATCTGATCTCTCAAATTCAGCTTTTGGTTTCACATCAATACCGCAACTCTGCATTGGCTTTTCCTCAGTATTCTTCTCTAAGGTGACCCTTACACAGCAGCTGCTACTTCAAATGTTTCCATGTATCCCAAAATCCGGTTCAGGCAAGTATGTTGCAACACAACTACCCCCTAAGTGTCTTTGCAGATAGTATTGATGGTGGTGCCAGCAAGCAGGCCCAAGAAAGCTGACTGAAGTAAGCTGCACTGTCGTGATTTAGTCCCCCTAGATGTAAAAATCTAGAGGGACAAAGCTTCTCAACAACATGCCGAATATCAAGATCTTGAATTGGTGCATCAAGATCTTTTTTGGATACAGTGATACCAGTTATATGAGGGACTATTCTCTAGTTCTGGGAGAAGATCAGCTTTGAGAACACAGTAATATGAATGTATTATGCAAATTCCCTTCAAGACTAAGTTCCCTACTGCCCAGAGTACTTGGTAGAAGTCTTAAAGTCTCTACATAGTTCAAAACTTTAATTAGTAATATTTTCTTGATGACTTGGTCTTGCCATTAGAATAAATTGATGAGGTCAAACAGCTAGTTCCACCTGAAGAGTCTTGTTCCAGCTATACTTAAGCCTACCACTACATCAGTATTTACACTGACAGCTCACTTTTAAGGAGGAAAAAACCTGCCCCTCCATTTCTGTCAGCTGTATTGGGTTTTTCAGAGATTCTAGTTGAGTATTTCACTGTCAGCTGCTCCAGAACAAACAGCCCTCTTTCCCCACATATTGCTAGACTCGGCATACAAGACTTTCAGTAAGTACACTTCTTCTGTGTTTATTGTAGAGTCCCAAGCCTGCATGGATAAAAGTTGATCTTTACAGTCACAATTGCCTTGATTGCACAGCCTTAAAAAAACCAAGTGCATTTAATCTTACTACAAGCACACCTGCTCATGTAGTGTAAATGCAAAGCTAGATGGCTTGGAAATGCATTCCACTTGTCTTTGTACAGAGGAAAGAGGAGTCTGAAGCATTTTACCTGCTCAAAACCACTAGCAATACCTCAAAATTGAGCCAACAAGCAACTATGTGAAGGAAAATTTGAGTTTTACAGAGTCACACTTAGCTTACTTGAACAAGAAAGACAGTTCTAGTGAACTTGCAACTTGCAAACAAACCCGCTTGCAACTCGAAGCCATGTGCCTGAACTGACTAGTAATAACTGACAAGCAGATGAAGTTCTGGCTTAACTCACAGACATCCCCTGCTCCTGTTAAACAACACTAGTATTGAACAAGATTAAAATGCTAGTGGAACTGACAAGCTTGAGCTTTTAAAGGGAGCAGTCCCAGATTCAGTTGTTCTGAACACCACTGATTCTAGAGACCAGAAGAGCTCGTTAATCGACAGCATTCCTTCTTGCCCACTGTTTGGATCCACATTGTTAAAGGGATTAAAGTAGCTCTTCAGGTCAATATACAGAGAGCAGCTGGTAGTGTCAAATGGCAGAAAAAAAAAAATCACAGGACTGTTACTACAATTTCTGCTCACCCTTTGAAATGCAGTGACAAAACTCAAAGTATCTGTTTCAAACTATACATGTGTGTACCTCAAGTAGTGTTTTTGCATCTTCAGAAAGATTCTCATGATGATTAGAGAAAATATGCATCATTACACAAGCTGATAATACCTCACATCTGCAAAGTAAACTGCTGTAAGCCCACTGTAAGCTCCATTGTTCACCCAGTGGAGGATACCTTTTCAGAAATGAAAAAGTAGAACTATTTTGAATGCTGTAATTTTAGTAGTAATTTGCATAAATTAACAACAACACTAACATTCATTTCAGCTGTTCAGGTAAGCATTAAGATATCCAAACTAAACACTAGATGAGCAATGTTAGCACATCCTACTGCAGGATTATGTGAAAGTTGTTATTCTGAACCTAGTGCAGCTACCATAGTTAGAGAATTAGCAGCTTTAATTCCAGAGCTGAGTTCTGGGTTTGTCTCACAATAACTACATCAAACACTTACTTGTTTATGAACTGTTCAAGAGCCTGCTTCCTTTCCTCTATAAAAGAATCATCAAATATGCCATCATCTCCTCGGAAGGGAAGCTGACGGAGAAGAGCTTTTCCTGGTAGAGGTGGTACCACAACCTGGAAGATTTAGAAAAAAGGTGTCCTCGAGTGCAGTATGAAAGCAAGTTTGTATACCTCCTGTGCCACCTCTTCCTCCTAGAGGACTCAAGTCAACCATATCCTTAGTGAAGTAATAAAACATGACCAGAGAAGAACAGTATCTGCCCAGTTGAATTCAAGTAGTTTAACTCTGAATTAACTCAAAGCCATTAAACAGCCTCTAGCACTGCACAACAGGTTTGCTGAAAGGCAGACAGTGTTTTAATTCTGGACATTTTTTACTACAATATCTGCTCTATATGATAAATCTGCTCTATATCATAAATATGCTTTATAACATTATGATAACATTTCAGCATCACTACTCTTCGTATTTCTATGAAGACTTCTATTCACTTTTCATTTTACCCACCTTGCTTTCTCTTTCTAGTTCATTCCTTAGCCATTCAAAATCACTGTATCTTCTTCTGACTGTAGATTCTTTCAATTTGAAGATAGGTAGATTTGTCTGAAAACAAGAACATAAGCTTTTGATTAGACAAATTAGAAGTTTTGATAAGCAGAAGCAAGAAACAAGCTGTTAAGTTACATATTAGTTTCACTTAAGCAACCACAACAGTATTGAGAAACACTCAAGATACAGAAATAGAGATAAAGCTCTAAGCTACATGAGTAAACTGTGCCTCAAACTGCTTAACTGTGGGCCTTGTTTGTATGGCATCTCAATCACTGGTATTTTGCCACCATACCAGCTGATTTGCTGGCCAAGCACAAGCTTCTGCTATCCTTACTGTCTCCAGAGCTGGATTCCCCATGCCAATATACGTACAAAATGGGGACAGAGGGAGAAAAAAAAGTCATCTTAGTCCACCCAGACTTCTCTTACTGCGTTCAAGGGAATGTTTCGGGTACCAGCACAGGACACTAACCAACAAGCTTCCTGTACTCTTCTGCTACCTGATACAATACAGCCTCCAACATCTTCAAAAGCAAACCCTCTGAAAGCCAGGGAATCCATTCAGGAGAGGTGAAGCTGAAGATCTGAAAGTACAAGCTGTCAAGTTTGGATAGATCCAAAACCAACAAGGCTGAGATGCACCACAACATTCAGCACTGAGGAAATCAGACTGTTTTGCTACAAAAGTTAAACCAAGCAGACCATGATGAAGCAGAACTTTCCTAAACCAGGGTAAGAGTCAGCACTCAATGTAAAGCAACAAATGGGAGCCAAGATTCTGCACAAGACCATGTTAAATACATGAGTGTTCTGATAGGTGTCCTTACACTAACTTGTCTAAGAGCCTATACTACTTCTATTAATTCTGGAGGTGCAGGGTTATCCCTTCATTATAATAAAACCTACACATTATTTTAAGAGTAGACATTGAGAGAGCACTCTCCTAATGACAGCTTCAGAATGGAAAGCTCCAAGATCACAAACGAAGCTTAAATGTCATTTAGATGGCAAACTGGCTAGAATGTTACAAACAAGTTTGTAGGAGTTAGAACCTACTAAAAGCAACACCATGAGGCTGTAATTGCATAATATGTAACCAGTACCAATATCTCAGCTAGTGCTTTCTATTTTGTTGTTGTTTTATTTTCCAAGCTGTAAGCCATCACACTCAGCTCCTGGTTCCAGTTTGAGTGGGTATCCCTGTATGATAAAATTTGCAGGCTGCTATGTTTAAGCTATCATTGAGTGATACTTTTGGCTGCTCAAATCAGGTTTAACTGCAGAGATACTTTCCTGCACTACATAGGCCTATGACTACAAGCCACTGTATTGCTGCCAGCCAATAATGAGCTTCTGGCTGTCTCAGTTCAAAAGTACTTGAGAAGTTAGTTGTGTACTTTCACCTTATGTTATTTAGTCCACAGTTTACAGATTGTAAAGTACAGAACAGTATTCTGTTATGAAATCGCCCATTGCTAAATGTTTAAAAGTATTTAAGCTCTCCTTCCCCGGTAAAATGTTGATTGTACTAGTGACTAAGAATAAAATTATGCTTAAGGCTATTATGTCAGAAGTCAGGTTTTATAAATAAACACTCATCTTGAGGATAAGAATACTCTACTCAAGAGTGAATAAAGCAAGGTTCCCCAGAGTGCATGAAGGAGATTCCCAGAAGTGAAGTACTGGATTATTTTTCTCTGATTTCAGCTATTGGCATTTTAACCACATTACAACACCAACTCTTTGTCAGTGTCTCAGGTAGAAGATCCTTTACAATATTTAACATACAGGTTCTCACCTGCAGAAAATATTCTATTCTCCTCTCAAGTTACTTATAAGAGGGATTAAAACTGAATAAAAGCAGCTAAAAAACAATGAGTTCCCAGGTCTTCAGGAACTCTTTTCATGCTTCTGGGCATGAAGTCTATAAAGTTAATCTCTAAACAACATATCAGGCTCACAGGTACAATGTGAAGGGAGAAGTGCCAACTGAGCTAATTTTATCTTCTACGTTTCCTTTAGAGCTTTTGACATGCTAGCCCAGCTAGCAAGTTGAAGAAGAGGACAGTTAAAGTACTTGTTTTCCCTTTGAGTTGAAAAATCTCTACTTTTGACCATAAGCACTGGGAATGTTCATACTGAAGTGTATGCTAGGAGGCTCCCATTAAATTAAGTTGCTTACAAGTCACAACTTGACAACTACCTGCTAAAGGAAAGTGTGTCCCCTGTCCTTCAGCCTGGATAGGAATTAGAGATATCTGTTGAGATCAACTTCTAAACGTCACATCCCTTCAAACCCAGAAACTGCAGCAATTCTCCCTGCTGCAAAAACTAGTACCAATAGAGTAGCATTCTTCAGATATGCAGCTGCTAGAAAGGATCTATTTAAAAAACAGCAATTTAAGCCCTGTTTCAGACCACTTAACCTATTTACATCCTGGGTCCCCACTTTTAAGCCAGAGTAACTTCAGGTCTGAATATATCCTATATGTCTCTCTCATTAAGGATTACTGCACTGTTTGAGCAGACCCCTTTTTTTCTTCAGCAGTGAAGGTTTCTGCATGTTCTACCCCCTCCATTTACCATGGATAGATGGCTTTCATTAAGCAAGCCAGACAGCTGCTGAAGCACGGACCATCACTGGGCAAGAATCTGGTAGAAAGAGACAACTCTCAAGTGTCAACAGAAATTTTCAATTTCTATTGAAGTGTCACGTTTTGGTCTTGAACCAAAATTATTCTCAGCTCCACAATTCACGTTAAGAGTTATCCTTGTGTAGTCACTGAGGAGCCAGCAGCTATCCTGAATGCTGTCAGTGCTTTCCCTGCTAGAACAGAGATAAGAGTAAGGCACAAAACTCGAAGCCAGGCTAGTTTCATTCTTACCAACATTCCTCCCCATGCTCGTTCAGCATTAGTGTTGGTTTTCTGGCCTGCTGATCTGTAAAGTCTGTCATAAAACTTATGACCCAGGTTGGCACGGCCCCTAGAGCAAAGTTCATTCCTCTGATAAATTCAGCATAATTACTGCAGCAATTGTTTCTTCTACAGTGTAATAATTATTCTCATTTTTAGCAAAAACATTTTCAACAACTTCCTCGTCCAAAATCATGCCTCTTAGCAGTTTGAATGAAGTCCTCAACCTGAAAGAATTATGCACTACTTAAGACATTAAACAACCAAAAGTCACTAGTCAGAACTGCAGATAAAGCATTATTTCAGAAGGACCAGTAAGTCAGCTCTGCAGAAGTTCCACACAGCCCCAAATCCCAAGCATATGAAGATGCTAAGTCAAGACAGATGCTTTCTGGCACTGTTTCTGTAACAGACTACATGGTATACACTCATTAGACCTTCTCTGACTGCTGTGAAACTCAGTCTGTATTCTGCTGTGGGAGCTAATGGCCAAGCCACTACACTGGAATAAACATTGTCAGAACTGGTGTCAAGTTAAATTACCTAGTTTAAACAGCAGATGACAAACCCAGATTCTTAAGTCACTCCTGCATCTCTTCACTCAGATGCCAAACAAGTTTCTACAGTCATCTGGCTACTGTTCAACAAACTGATAATGGGAAGCAGTGATTGATTTCAGGGCAAAATCTGTATTCACAGTAAGCATGTTTCTTCAGCTACACTTATGTTACTATAAAATATTCAAGCTATAAGTCCAAATCCAAGCTCGGAAGGTTTCTAGTTCCCCTCAGAAGCACATAACAGTCCTAAGGCAGTAGCTTGGATAACCAGATAAGTCTTCTAGCTGTTACTATGGTCGATCCCCAAGCTATGCCCAGTCAGAAGTCCAAAAATTGTTTATATATACAAGTGAGGAGATTTTCACAGGCAGAATGCAAGTAGTTTGAGTATTAGTCAACAGAATCCATTCCACTTCAGATACACAGCTCTCCAACATAGCCATTCTGGTACACAAGTTACCTTAAATGCTGGAGGAAAACCGGAGTACTTTATTTTAAATACATGTGTTTTGTTATCTAGACTAGATTAATTTATCCAGTCAGTGAAAAAAGCCTTGCTAATAGCTAGACTTGCTCCTACAAATTTGTCTTCAAATTGTGCACAAATAGCAGCTGAGTTCCTTCAAAGAGCACGCTGACAAGATTGACTCTGAATGTCACTGCAGCCCAGTCCACCCCCACAGCTGCAGAAACTCCACAGCTGTAGTTGTGCAGGATGGCTTGAGCAAAATCTGATTAATTACCTCATCTGCCAATGAAACACTCATCAGCAGCACTGCATTGCCCATGTCTCCCACTCCTAAGAGACTGAGAATAAAGCTGCACTGTTGCCATAGCACCTACTTTGATGTTGTCTTTTCAAGTAGGTTATGGTAGCCTTGATACAACTCTATTTCCATTAAAATAGAGTGAAAGAAAGCACTCAGCTCACTTCTGATACAAGTTTGTGGCCTTGACTCTCAGAAGCTAAATTCAAGCTTCTCACTATCTCCTCATACAAGCTGTAATCTTTGTCAAGAGACTACACCTTTTGGCTACATTCACAATCAGCTAATGGGAGCTTTGGAGTATTACAGTAAGCAGCATTCAGGGTGGATAAAAAAAAGTATTAAGGTTTCCTTAATGCAAGAGCCTGCTGTCCTTTAGCACAAGAGACTGGCTCCAGCAGTCAAATGTTATTGCAGAAACCTTGCCAGTAGTTTGTTTCCTTCCCGACTTGACATAAGCAGCTACTTCCCTATTTCTTACAATTATAAAAAGCAAGAAAGAAGGCAAACATGCTCTAAACTTCAGTTACTAGAAGTTTAGATTGTTGCTGCATACTTTACTAAAGGAAAACTTCTTTCCCCACTGCAAAAGCTCAGATAAGAGGTTGTTTTTTCCCCCCTAAGTTTCAGCTCTTTTGAACAAAGCAGAGTTCTACCTCCTCTTTTATCCACTTGGTGTCCAGGTCTACTGAAGGTACATTACATGCAAAAAATCTAAAGGTAATGGAACACTGAAAAATCTGACCATATGTGCCCACCCACATTTTAAACAATGACGACTTAAGCTATGTCAAGAACTACAGAACTTCCTACTCCACAATGCAGAGA